TGCGTGTAATCGAGTTGAACTAAAATAGTTAACTGTGCTGGGTTGAGACGCGATGAGATGATTGGAAAACCCGTGCATGGAAGGCTGAATTGTAACTCGGTGAAAATAAGTAATTTTATAAAGTGGGTACGATTTTTATTTTCAGTCAGGTGCCTCGAAGACTTTCATTTGCTCCATTTAGTTTGAACATATATCTACCAGTTGCTAAGGAGTGCATTTTGATTGGACACTGGAAGCTTTCTGTAATACTGCACCTGATAGTATAAATCAAAGCCATTAGTCATTATTATCAGGAGACTATGTAGGTTCCTGTCATTATAAAATTTCTTAGACAGGTACCCTCCCCCCAGAAAAAAAAAATTGCCATTGTGCTGCCTTTCATAGTTCCAAGCAATTCTTGGTTTTCACATGACGTCACCAAAATTCAAACTAAGAAACTATCGCTTCTTTTGAGTTTCTACTTTCATGTGATACTAGAGCACCTTAAAACCTTTATACAAAAAAAAATTCGGTTGAAAAGGGTTCTTTGTTTTGCGATACAGGACTCTTGAATTTCCAGGCTTTTTGCGTGACGCGCGCGGGCATTTAGCTGGCGGCCGGGAAAGCTCTTATGTGGGTTAAAAACATTACGGATTTTTGGAGATTTTGCTATCTAAACATTCCTTGTCTTAGAATGAATATTACTTTAATCTTTATGAGTTCCTCAAGAGATGAATTCACGAATAAGTAAGAAAACTCAAAAACAGTTGTTTCTGTTGGTTTCCGGCGGCCATATTTGTGCCCCTGAAAGTAGACTACGAGTAGTCCCTCATTTTTCCTCAGGGATAGTAGAGCGAGCGAAACGCGAGCGCGCGTGAAAATAACCCTCTTTTCTCGCGTGGGGTGATTTTCACGCCCGCTCGCGTTTCGCTTGTTCTACTATCCCTGAGGAAAAATGGGGGACTACTCGTAGTCTACCCTGAAAGGGACACAAACATGGCGTCTCCATACAAACAAGGTCGTAACTAGGTATATGGGATCAGAGATCAACAGCAAAAAATGAGGTGGGATCAGGGATCACAGCGCCGGGATCTGGGATCACAAGCCGTGGGATCGGGATCAGCATTACTGTAAGAGGAATCCGGTTTCCCGACGTAACAACAAAGACCACAAAATTCTGAAATGCGCCTTAATTGGAGGATTAACCTGCCAACATTTTTCATTTCAGTTGTATTTTTGCTGTAACATTTCGATCCGGTACAAAACTGTACTAATGCAATCCGATCTGCTGGACTACCTTCAAGTCTGCAAAACGTGGAGATACTTTTCTTGAATTTGAAGATATTTATCTTATGTTACTTTTTTTTAGCACATTACTTACTCTCTGCTTGTTGACCTGTTGACTCAGTTTGTTGGACGTGGTTGGAGCTAAGATGACAGAGCTAAAGAATTGGTCAAAGTCTTTGCTTGCCGAATACGGATTCTGGTAGAAATTGCTTAATGGGCATTGACCAGAGTGTGACTAATTGTAAAAGAAATAAAAAGAGAAACACTTTTTTTTCAGTTTTTATGAAGTACGCGCAGTTAATCCAACCCAGATTGAATCCAGGGATCAAAAAAATTCACGGCCGGGACCAGGGATCAAGTTTTGCAACAATTTGGGGATCAAGGATCAAAATTTACGGCCTAAATGTGGGATCAGTTGGCAAAAAAAATGTCCTTGTTACGACCCTGATACAAAGCTTTCTAAATTTGGGTAAAACGTTTTTCCGAATATCTCGCATATGAACAATTGCATAGACCTGATTCTTGGCAAGGCTTTTTGCATATTTATCTTCTTTTATTTCCCAGATTCTAGACTTTCTGTATTAAAAGGTTTCCATTTTTATTTCTGCTTTCTCCCGTGGGTGAAAACTGAGAATATATTTGTAAGACACTATCAACAAGCGACTCACCCTGCGTAACTTTTCTCAAGTGCAGCTGTGTATCTGTCGACTACCGAGCGAGCTTCTCGTTCCTCCAAAGGAAATTCAGACAAGATGCTCCTCCCCTTGTTATTCCATCGACACTTGAATAAGGTAAATTGTACGTTTTGTGGGCATGTTTATAAACTCCATGACTACGTTTGCCGGATTAAGAAGATAACTCGGTTTGTAATCGCAAAAATTTAATGCGTTCCTCACTGCTGAGCTTTCTAAGTAAGTGATCCTCTCCGGTTTCATGAGTTCGCTTGCAAATTTAAGGCGTACTGATTCACAAGCAAGCACGTCAGGCAAATCGTCATCGTAAACTTTCATTTCAGCCATGTCACTATCATTTTTGAACAGAGCAAAAAACTCCCCAGGGATAACTTCAAAGACACTTTTATCGGGTCTTTTCCGGGCAAGTTTTACTTGAGGGCCATTATTATTTCTAATTTCGCCCCGAGCATACACTATGTCTATATAATACGCATGTTGGGCTGACAACTTCACACTTACGTTAGAAGATTCTAGAGATTCTTGAAGCTTGCCTGTTGGGTAGCTGTGTGCGATTTTCGCTCCCCCTTTCCAACTAATGCTTTTACTTAGCCAAAACTCCACAAATCCATTAGTCTCAACAGAGAAAAAATATTCGCCAGTCACATTGGGTCGAAGAAAACCCAGCAATCGAAGGCCGGTAACTAGTTTTGCATTTGAAGAGATGTTAACATTGTCCACGATGCCTCGTCTATCTGGTGCCTTGGGAAAGATTGGAAAACTGCAAAGTTTTTCGAGACTTTGTAGGCACCTCCCTTCCCATGTATGCCGATTCAAACCTTTAAAGAAGTGGTTTGTTTTCGTGTCGGTTTCAACTTCATTCACCAGCAGCTGTTCCGGGAGCGCCTTAGTAAGTTGGTGACCAGAGAAAGAGAAAAGAACCAAAATTACATACAGGGCGGTGAGGCCAACAGCTATCACAAATGACGTCTTAATTCGAGATATGCTCACAAATGATGTCTTAACGCGAGACATACTCTACCATCAGCTAGTTTTCTTAGGCTTACTGCATTATTTTATTTACTTTATTTGCGTGCGGCACTCTCTGACGTAACGACCGCATACTTGGTTGTTTCCATGTATGTTTCGAAGGAGGCAGTCTCTCATTGATCAATCTGACAAAAGAATCATTAGTCCGTAAACAACGGAAAGCTTGGCTGCCTTTGACCATAATCTATCAATGTTGGCTTTAGTTCCAACTTACTTAAACTATGGATGGAGAGAAAGGCGAGAGAAAAAAAAACCGTCATCGAATGCGTTTTTAAAAAGTTTCACTTCCACTAGTTCCCTGGCCGGCCAAATTAAATGACATTTGGAAACGGCGAGTTACACTGATCAAATAAATTAGCGATGCCGCATTGTAAGCACACTTTTCGGACGCCTTTGTTTAGTTCTCAGTGAGGCATACTATTTGAAATTTTAATTTTTTTTTCGTTATTGCAACGTGGGGGAAAAGAAATGTAGTACTGAAATTCTATCGGCCAATCAGGAATGGCGTTTGCTCCGTCCGACTGCAGACGGAGTTTAAAAATCTCTTAGGGTTAATTTTCTGTCTGTCTTCTTTCCCTCGCTAACTCCCCATCGTTCTCTCGTTTGACCTCGGTTCATACATACATACATACATAACTTCATTTAACTGGGATTTTAGAGTAGCCAAAGCCGTATCTCCGATTAATTACATAAATACAACATCACACTTAATTAGTTTTAGAACAAACTGAGGCCCAAAGGGCCAAAAAAAGTTTTTTTAGACCGGGCTACCTCCTCAGCTCAGGGTCTGGATGACCCCCCACCCCACCCCCCTTCCTTATCTGAAGGTCTGGATCTGCCATTGGCAAAACTAAACGTCTAATTTAAGAAACTATGGGAAAAATGTCAACGTCTAAATTTCTTCAGACTACAGTCGAACCTCCATGTGCGACCATCTGTCGTAAGCGACCACCTCTCTCTCATAAACGACCGCCAATCCAAAACACCAAAATTTTCTCAAGCAAAGCCGTACAGTTGGAACTCTCTAGTAAACGACGACCTCCTATAAGCGACCGCGACCACTTTTTGGGCCTGATGGTTAATGATTTTCCATTGTTTTTAACCTCTTGTAAACGACCACTCGACTCAGTCTTTGATCTGTGTGCACTACGTTACTTATAATATACGAAGAACTTTAGTGACAACATGGAACAACAGATATCATAGCCTGCAGTGCAGGCGTTTTCTTTGAGCGCGCAATTTGCTCGCGAAAGTGCCATGCTGGAATTTCTGGAAGAGAGGAGGAGATGGGGCGAGTCCAAGGGAGCGGGGAGGGGGCGGGGAGAATAAGGGTCCCTCATTTTTCTCTCTTCCCGCCGCGTGTCGCCTTTTCTCGCGTGGGGTGATTTTCACGCGCGCTCGCGTTTCGCTCGCTCTACTATCCCTGAGGAAAAATGGGGGACTACTCGTAGTCTAAACGCGAGAAACGCAAATGGCTACGCGCGGTGCATTGCTCTCACTAAATCTGAAGAAAAGGAGGGACCGCTCGATCGCAGTCTAGAAAGCGGACGGAGCAAACGGCATTCCTGATTGGCCGATAGAATGTCAGAACTACATTTCTTTTCCCTTACGTTGCAATAACAACGAAAAAAAATATATATTATTAAATAGTATGCTTCACTGGATACTAAACAAAGGCGTACGAAAAATGTGCTTGCAGTGCCGCATCGCTGATTTGTTTGATCAGTCAGGCCGTTTCCAAATGTCATTCAATTTGGCCGGTCAGGGAACTCTTGGAAGTGAAACTTTTTAAAAACACATAGTTTAAGTAAGTTGCAAATAAAGCTAACATTGATATATTATGGTCAAAGGCAGCCAAGCTTTTCCGTTGTGACGGACTAATGATTCTTTTGTGGAAATATATATGCAAACAACACGTTCGTGGCGTCAGAGAGTGCAGCAGGCAAATGAATATAAATGAAACAGTAATGCACCATCAGACTGTGCCTATGAAAAACCTGCTGACGGTAGAGTATGACTCGCGTTAAGAAATCATTTGTGAGCATAACTCGTATTAAGACGTCATTTGTGATAGCTGCTGGCCTCACCGCCCTGTATGTAATTTTGGTTCTTTTCTCTTTCTCTGGTCGCCAGCGTACTAAGGCGCTCCCGGAACAGTTGCTGGTGAATGAAGTTGAAACCGACACGAAAACAAGCTACTTCTTTAAAGGTTTGAATCAGCATACATGGGAAGGGAGGTGCCTACAAAGTCTCGAAAAACTTTGCAATTTTCCAATCTTTCCCAAGGCACCAGACAGACGAGCCATCGTGGACAATGTTGACACCTCCTCAACTGCAAAACAAGTTACCGGCCTTCGACTGCTGGGTTTTCTTCGACCCAATGTGACTGGCGAATATTTTTTCACCGTTGAAACTAATGGATTTGTGGAGGTTTGGCTTAGTAAAAGCATTAGTTGGAAAGCGGGAGCGAACATCGCACACGGCTACCCAACAGGCAGGCTTCCGAAAGATGAATCTCTAGAATCTTCTAACTTAAGTGTGAAGTTGTCAGCCCAACATGCGTATTATATAGACATAGTGTATGCTCGGGGCGAAATTAGAAATAATAATGGCCCTCAAGTAAAACTTGCCTGGAAAAGACCAGATAAAAATGTCTTTGAAGTTATCCCTGGGGAGTTTTTTGCTCTGTTCAAAAATGACAGTGACATGGCTGAAATGAAAGTTTACGATGACGATTTGCCTGACGTGCTTGCTTGTGAATCAATACGCCTTAAATTTGCAAGCGAACACATGAAACCGGAGAGGATCACTTACTTAGAAAGCTCAGCAGTGAGGAACGCATTAAATTTTTGCGATTACAACCCCAGTTATCTTCTTAATCCGGCAAACGTAGCCGGTTTTAGACAATATCAAGGTGTTTATAAACATGTCCACAAAACGTACACTTTACCTTATTCAAGTGTCTATGGAATAACAAGGGGAAGAGGAGGACCAGCATTTTTGGCTGAATTTCCTTTGGAAGAACGAGAAGCTCGCTCGGTAGTCGAAAGATACACAGCTGCACTTGAGAAACGTTACGCAGGGTGAGTCGCTTGTTGATAATGTCTTACAAGGATACTGCTTTGTCAACAATGAAAGGCAGCACAATCGCAATTATTTTTTGGGGGGGAGGGGGTTCTAAGAAATGCTAACTCTCCCGGGGGCTTATATTTGGAGGGGCGATTTAGCGGAGGGTTTTTTGCGTTACGAGTTTGGGGGGCTAATATTTGAAGGGGCTTATTTTCGGAATTTTACAGTATTTCCCAAGGTTTTCCAAAATTTCAAACATCCCTCCCTCTGATATTTTGCCAACCTCGTCCCCAGGACTTTTCCCTAAAAAAATGGGTGGGGCGGGAAAAGGCCCTGTAATCGGCTGGTCACGTGTACAGCCTAAATATTCCTGAGAAGCTAATTTATATGCACCCCGCTGGTTTTTCGCTGACAGAAGGGAGTAACACTGGAAAATAATAACATCGCGAACTATGTCAATATTTTCGCGTATGTCCTATTCAAAAGCTTAAGATCCATTTAATTGCGCATTATTCAAATGCTACAAGTTTATGAAAGGGCGTACCGGCTCTACGTTGTCACTTGCAAAATATGTCAAATGCTTAAGAGTTGAGACAAGCTGTTCTCGACTAGTACTTCAACTAAACTTCATCGTGACTGTGGAATTAAGCGTTCAAGCGGAAAGTGATTTTGTCCAATGTCAAACAAAAATGCGAGCCCTTGCCTCCAGGATCTGCAGTGAATTTAAACAAATTAAACTTAACTGAAAGAGAATTGTTCATCAAAATGCTATATGGAGTCTGGTCTTCTCTACAGCCCGACCATGAAACAAACAAATCTCCGCGCCGGATGCAAGTCAGCCCTCCAGCCAGGAACGATGACAGGTCACCGATCTAAAACATTTGAAGACCTCTTGCATCTTTTCTCTTCCGAGGATAAGTACAAAGGATTTTCCTTATGTTAAAGAGAAGATTGACTGATCGATTGGAATCAACTACTGCTCTGTCGATTTTAAATGGACCCAAGCCTTTCTTGTTGCCAGTCGTTTGATCGCAGAGGTCAATGAATTTTTCGGATCATTCAGGATAAGTCTAAGCCAACGCGTGTCGCTATGATATGGCTGAGAGTTAAGGTGAATAGAACTAGGCTGTGTACGGCGGCCCACTTCGCAAGAAATGAAATAAAATATCAGTACGACCCGGGATGTACGATAGCTTGTTTGTTATTTATACCTCTCTATAAACAGAAGTTTTACAAATGTTACTCGCTGTCCCCTTCTTAGAAATCGGAGGAAAGCAAAAAATTACCATATCCAATATCTGTGACAAAAAGGAAACCTTGTAAAACTTTTCGTTAATCGTCAAGACCGTCAAGAGATATAAAAGGTCGCCCAAGATCGCACGCTGTGAGGTTACGCATAATTTTAGCTTTTCACATGGCGTTAATCTATTACAACCAGGATTTTAGGGTGTACGAGGAGACACGTGACCAGCCGATGCCAGGGCCTTTTCCAGCCCCACCCATTTTTTGAGGGAAAAGCCCTGGGGACGAGGTTGATATTTTGCTGAAAAACACTTGAGAAATCACCCAAAAATTCTCAAAACCTAATTGAACCAAGGACTCCCATTATGGCTCTTGATCAAATATTCATTAAATATTTAAGAAAAAGGAGGGAAATATACAAAAAATAATGCTTTTAACTACAACCTCGTCCCCAGGGCTTTTCCCTCAAAAAATGGGTGGGGCACCACCCATTTTTTGAGGGAAAAGCCCTGGGGACGAGGTTGTTTTAACCAGACTGCCCCCAGACTGCCCCCTTAATAACAATGTCGCGGTGAAAAGCGTTTATTTAACACATAAGACAGTACTTGATAGATTAACAGTTCTCTTTATACTGCAGGAAATACGCATTCAACACCATCAAGCGCGTAGAGATGAAACACGACCCCAAGAAAGGGAAGAGATATCTACTTGAGCTTGTTATTAAGGATATCACCGATGGAAAACACTACTTATTGTCAGAATATGTCTTTGTCCCTTATGGAAAAGACGCTTCTTTTTTATGTTATCCTAACGCTCTGCAGTGGAACAAGACAGCGGATGTCTATTTAATACTCACGGCTAAGAATCTAGGTCGATGGGTTCATCATTTTATAAAGAACGTTGAAAAGATAGTGCAAGAAACAAATGATGATCATTTGCACGTCGTCATATATGACTTTGGAAGCCCCGATATTGATATTAGAAAGGCTTTACAAAGAAGCATCTTAAAGAATTATCATTTTATCATAAATCCTGCACCCTATTCGAGGACTAAGTCTTTCAGTGAGGCCATAAAATCGGTTGATGATCCAGACGCTATTGTTGTTACTATAGATCTTCATCTTGATATTGGAAGTCAGACCATAAGTGATATACGTAAGGTAAGATTTCTGCCAGTATAAGCCTACATCGTCCATAATGTAATTCGGATAAATCTAAAATTGACGTCTTCGCCTCGAAAACCTTTTAAAAGGTTTCCCCCAACACTGTTAATTTGGACATCATGCTGTGACGTAATGTAATTAAAAAGGGATTGGCCGATAAAAACGTTCGGGTTTTCTGGATAAAGGGAAAATTTTGGTCGGGATGGTGGGATTTAAAAACCCTATTGCGGACCCTTGCTCATAGAAGGGTAGACCACACATTTCAAATTGATCCGGGTAATTGTAGACGGCGTTATGGATAGCCAGAGGAGAGTGACTTTGAACCATCTTAAACAAAAAATAAAATAACAGTTTTTCTTGCCAGTTTCTCTACCACTTTAACTAAAGTGTTTAATGTTCCGGCAAAGTAGTTGGCACACGAGGCTTTTCTTGGGTCACAATAAACTGTAAGGTAGTTACTGATGTACGGGAGAATTAACTTAGTAACGGGTAAACATCGTCCTCCATTGGTCTTTCATCTTTATCTAATCAATTACCTCATTTTGATTTCAGCATTGTTTCAAAGGAAAGACAGTCTACGCTCCTCAAATCATCTTTCTGCATTGTGGTGGCAGTAGCAATAAGCCCGTAGGCGTCTGGTATCACTTGAGTTATGGCACGATAGCAATGTACAAAAGGGATTGGGAATCCTTCGGAGGGTTTTCAAAAAGATTCCTCAACAAAGACACGTGGGGTGGTGAGGATTGGGATGTAATTGACGGTGCAGTTAAGGGAGGACTGGAAATAGAACGCAAGCGCGCGCCATGGATTTTTCACTACCAACACAACAAAGCGGGAATGTGGCAAAGAAATTAGATGACCTCCTTTTGTTTTTGTTTTGAAGTTATTGTATGAGCTACTGTGTTTTGCTTCATTGCCTGTTGAATATACTAAATAAATATCACTCAAGTAATATCTACTTCAAAAAACTACAAAAGCATTGAAAATACTGCTGATACTCCGCTCTAGACAAAAAAAAACAGGGGCACCCAACGAGGATATAGTTCAAAACCACTTAACATAGCATTTTTGAACGTATTTTAGTATTTAAACGGTAGATATAGGCATATTTTTATCCCCTAAAAACTTTTCATCTGTTCGGATTTCCTAGCTGAAAGTCTAGTCATCCGAAAATAATAGGGATCAAAACTTACCTTTTCGAAAATTTCAGCCAGGAAAAGGCTCCCGAAAATTCTAGGTGGCATTTTCTGGGGTAAAAATCCGTTAAAAATGGGTAATTATACCATTTTGTAGATGTTCGAAAATCCTAGGAGAGGCAGGCAAGCAACAAATTTTACAACAAACGCTCCGAAAATTCTAGATCTCAAATCGTCTTCCGAACAGATATTTTCCCGAAAATTGCCGTTGGGTGCCCCTGAACGCGGCTCTGTCAACACTGAATAGAACGAACTTTCCAACTTGGTGACATTCATCAGCAACCACAATTTCACCGCACTTACTAATCCCCGTTTACAGAGGCTTTTATTGTATATATTTTCCTTAGTTAATCTTAGCAAGTCGATTGTATCGTATTTTTTAGAAATTTATTTCTACAACCGTTATATATTCTCTGTAATAACAATGGTTCCTATGTGGCGAATCTCGACTCCTGGCATTCACTCATAAAACGTTGAGCGAGGATGCCAATGGCGTCAGCAATTGACTCATAATTGGCCCAAAAAAATTGGCCAGTTGAAATAAAATAAAACTTCCTTAACTTAAAATTAAGAAAACACGAAATAAGTATAGTATATTTTTGCTGCGACCGAGCTGCTGTGGGGACAAGAATGCGTGTCATCTCATTTAAATAAATGAAACTCGCCTGGGGCGATTTTTTCTTTCGGCCGTTCAGTTCTAAATACCTTTCTTAAACCATATGCAAATGTTGAGGCAAGATTTACTGTGTTACTCCGGACAATCTTAATTCGGGAGCTCTTTTCCTCTCTTTGGACAAGGATAAAAAAGTTATAAGAATTTCTGAAAACGAGTGATAGGTAAGTTTAGATTTCAGAACAAAGAGTGGCTAATGCAGAAGCACGCGCAAAGACGACAGCGCATCGCTTGAAAACCCGTGATTTGCCGAAAAATTACAAACCTTTAAAAAGATTCTTAATTCGGAAGCTCTTTTCCTCTCTTTGGATAAGGATGAAAAGGTTGTAAGGATTTTGCAAGCGAGTGATAGGTAAGTTTATATTTCAGAACATGGAGTGGTGAATCCAGTAACGAGTAGAGATGACAGCGCTTTGCTCGAAGACCCGTGACACGGAGGAAAAAATTTTAAACCTTCAAAAGCATTCTTATTTCGGACGCTCTTTTCTTTTCTTTGAATAAGGATAAAAACGTTAAAAACATTTTGCAAGCGAGTAATAGGTAAGTTTAGATTTCAGAAAAAGGAGTGGCTAATGATGAAAGGCGAGACGACAGCGCTTTGCTCGAAGACTCGCGTGACATTCGCCAACAATTCGAACCTTCAAAAACAAGAACAAAACAGTCAATATTTTGAGATCAAATTAGACACTCAAAATTTTCTTACAACATTCGTCAATTACTTGTATACTGCCACGGCAAAAAGCTCATCTCGACTCGGTTAGAGCTAGCTTCCACGCATATCGAAGCTATTATTGACGGCGTGGTAAGTTACTTGTACGAGTTTCCTTTAGTTCCTTTCCCTGTATTTGTACATATCAAGTGGAGAAAAAAAATTCGGACTGACCGCAGTCCTCTTCTTAATTATTAATCCCTAGGCATGAGTTCTTAGCAATTCCTAAAATTATAAGCGATTTTTGTGGAAGTTTACTACAATGTCTTTAAATTTAGATTCAATAATGGCGACAATGCATGAATGGAAATTGTGGGGAGTATGTGAAAACAAAAGATTTTATAATTTACAGATGTGTAGGAAAGGAGTAGAGAACTGAGAATTAAGTTGAGACGGACTTGCTTTTCATGTCTTGTCACTGGCCTAAGCTGCAATAGGCATATACAAGCAGCCCTAGTAATTCCAAGGTCAAAATTCACACATTTTATTCTCAGGGATTCCTAGGATATTCCTAAGAATTCCTAAATCTCTTTTGAAGGGTTCTTTTCAGATTGCTTTGGAATTTGGGAGTGGAGGTTTTTGACAAAAGCAATAGATCCAAAGTTAACCCTGGGAAAACCCTCTTATAGCAACGGAGAGAACCAGTAGCAAACTGAAACCACGTGTGGTGTCTACGCCTTGAACCCAGGCCGGCAATATTACCAAAAATAGGCATTCTGCTCAAAGGCTTTGTATGAGCAACATGCGTTTCCGACATGAGAATTGTTCATAAAATTCGCAATGAGCGTTTTAAAAATATTTTGGGCTTTATTCTAATATGTAAAGGCCAGGGAGCAAAAACAGGTCCAACTAACTCAAATAAAGGGACTAGTTAGACAGCACTCGTACCCTGGGTGCCAGAGACTTTTCTAGCGCGGTTTCCGGTTTCTGTCAAGTCTTTATAGTGACCCGCGCGAAACTCGTGGCTTCAGCCCAAGGCCGAAGATGTGTCCGCCTTCGGCCAACACCGAAAATTCCCGCCGCACGCGAGAAAAACCTCTGGTACCCAGGGTACAGCACTCGATGCACCGAAACATGACATAACATTTCTGGCTGTGTAATACTCCAAAACCGAAATTGCTAAGGCGAAAATCGGGTTTATATTCGCTTTTCGCAAGCCTGCGGCGGGATTTCTAAGCTGAAAAGAACACCACCATTAGCACAAACCGGAAATTGTACATTAAGTTTGTTCTGTTGTTGTGCGGCCAGTTAGGTACCATACAGAAAATGCAGAACGAGGTATGCAAAATGGCCTTACGGGTTCACTCTAAAGGAAGTAACCTTGCTGCAAAGGGGGAACTCGGACGTTTTCCTCTTCATCTTATTATTTACACTAGGGGAGCAAGGGTGGCCCATTGGTAAGAGCACTCGCCTTCCACCAAAGTGGCCCGGGTTTAAATCCCGGCGTCGACGCCATTTGTGGGTTGAGTTTGTTGTTGGTTCTCTCCCTTGCTCTAAGAGATTTTTCCCCGGGTAGTCCGGTTTTCCCCTCTCCTCAAAAACCAACACTTTCAAATTCTAATTCGATCTGGAACGCACGGACACGTTTAAACGAGTTCATATGAACTCTTACGTGCCTCGTGGGTAAAAATGCAATTTACAATTTTAATTTTAATTTTTAAGTACTTCTTTAGGTCACTTACCTTACAAATAACCAAATTTTAAATAGCGCCCTACAGATAAACATTCATTTAAATAAACATGGTTTACTACTGTAAGGCACCTATTACATTAAGTGATTATACTTCAAATCTGCCACATCCTGACCACTGGACAATTCCTGTAAATGCACCGTTTTATGAACAGCTTTGAAGCCCTGCTCTCCATGTATTTCTTAGTTAAGTGCCGTTATAACTTAATTTCGCCCGCAGTAATAATGACACCGCATAAGAAATAAAATCACTCATCTGTACAGTTTTTTCCAAGTTTAAAGTTGTCTTGGCACACGTTGATTATTTCAGGATATATGTTATGCAAACCAAGCTGGATTTTGTTTCATTTGACGGTCGTAAAAATCTTCAAAGACGACAAAATTCATTGGCGAACGTGCCTTTCCCATACAAAACAGGGACACCCAACGACAATTTTCGAAAAAATATCTGTTCGCAAGACGATTTGAGATCTAGAATTTTCGGAACATTTGTTGTAAAATTTCTTGCTTGCCTGCCTCTCCTAGGATTTTCGAACATCTTAAAAATGGTATAATTGCATATTTTTAACGGATTTTTACCCTAAAAAGGTCACCTAGAATTTTCGGGAGCCCTTTTTCCGGCTGGAATTTTTGAAAAGGTAAGTTTTGATCCCTATAATTTTCGGATCACTAGACTTTCAGCTAGGAAATCCAAACAGATGAAAAATTTTTAGGGGATAAATATATGCCTTTTTTATCTACCGTTTAAATACTAAAATACGTTTAACAATGCTGTGTTTAAGTGCTTTTGAACTATATTCTAGTTGGGTGCCCCTGACAAAACTCTTATACTGGTCAGGTTCAATGTCTGAGTCACAGCAAGGACCAGAAATTTGTGACGTCATTAGTGCAAAGCGTTGTTTATGAAGGGCGAGTGCTGCTACACAACCACGGCCTGAACCTTGCTTTGAGTTGGTTATATTATTTTGTGTGATGTCAAGAGACACCTTCCTGACTGTTTATTTGTGTCCATTTATATCTTGTAGATAAAATTCTTCCTTAAAGCCTTACTCAAGCTAGAATGAACTTAAGAAGGAGGTACGTTTGGCTTCCTGCCATCTTGATTGGTTCATTCTTTGGTTACTTGACATTCAAGTCACGCTGCACAACTCCTTATTCATCCAAACGTCAGGCCGGTCGACATCATGGTGGAGCGAGCACTGTAAACGCCACGGAAAGTGTTGCTACCAGCACTAAAGACATTGTAACTACGGAAATTCCTGGTGATGAACGTCTCCAAATCGGCCATTATGTTTCTAGACTTAACTCTTCCATAATTGGAAAAGAGTTCAACTTTGATAATTCAACTCTAGCTGTAATAAGAAGAGTTCTTCGGGATCAAACATTCAAGCTAAAGCCAATCGAGTCCATTGATGCCAAGACGCCATTTTTTGATCTCGTGACTCCTGTGACCGCGTGTTCGAGTAACCACTACGGCGAATTCAAACCTCACATGGAAGATTTTAGAAAGAGTTTCCCTGGAACGAAATGTTTTTTCTACGATCTTGGACTAAGCGATGAGCAGTTCAATGAAGTTAAAAACATACCTGACCTAGTGTACAGAAAATTCAACTTTAATGCGTATCCTGAACACGTTCGTAACCTGCAAAATTATGCCTGGAAACCGTTGATAATTCAAGAAATGCTTTCTGAATTTGATGGAACAATGTGGTTTGATTCATCTGTCAAATTCTTAGGAAACCTAACCAAAAATGTAAAAAAACTTATGTCCCAACACAATACAGGCGCAGTGTTTTATCTCGACTCAACCCATCACTCTATAGTAGCAGTAGCCTGTTCCAAGCGTTCAGATAGTGGAGAGCGGTGCAGAGTAAAGAAAGCGATGAAAAGTAGAGGGGGACTGGGGAGAGGGTGCGTTCCCTCTCTCACCTCCCCCCCTCCCTCGCTTTTATTTTTTCGCGCTCCTTTTTACTTCGCACCGCTCCCCACCATCTGAACGCCTGGAACAGGCTATAGTAGCAGCTACTCAACCGGGCATGCTTGAATACTTTACGATGATAAAGGAAGGCGTAGTTAAGGACATGCTTCAGGCCAGTGCAGTGGTTTAAATAAACAAGGATGAAGTACAAAGGCGTATAATGAAATGGGTTGTGATTTGCGCCCTCATAAAGGACTGTATCGCACCGCCCGGTCCAAAATTTTTTTGTGGGTTTAAGTTTCCTCGAGACAGGTTTGGAGGCTGCCACAGATATGACCAGTCTCTGCAAAATATCCTTGTTTCGAACGCTTATAACCATGAACACGAGAAATGTCAGTACTGGAGTAAAGATTTTGCCGTTATGGCCCTGGGGTAACTTTCCTTGACACACTCGCAAAGGAAAGACTGTTTCTTGATCATTGTAAATCACACGTCTATACAATTCATGGTTATACTTGGAAACATGGCACCCGACAAACAAGTCTTAAATTAGAAACCAGCAATGTTGTGTTTGCCTACCCCGCCAATTTGGTTAAAGATTTTTAATTGTGAATATCAATGTAGAAAAACTACGATCATGGATAAATTGCATCTGCTCAGCAATTACACATTCCCCACTCAAGAATTAATATTCGAAAGTTTTTCCCTACCGTCATTGGAAAATACTATTGGAACGATCTCCTCCTTTCTATTCGCAATAAATCATCGAAAATCCTGTTCAAAAAGGCACTTAAAAAATATTATCTTGCTCAATATTGACTTGTGTGCGTGTGTGTGTGCGTGTGTGCGTGCGTGTTTGTGTTTTAATGAATAACAAAACTACAAAAGAATAAAGTCAATCTTGTTAAAGGGCCATGATTAGTTTTACTATAATGTGCCCTTCTCCATTCTATAAATTTTCTTCTTTTATTATTATTATGTACACGTAGTTTAAGCAACTTTGTACCAATTGATATTGTACAACTAATGTATTATTGATATTGTACAACTATTGTATTATTGTACAACTAATGTATTATAGGAGGGAGTAAAAATAAAATACAAATACAATACAGCTAATTGTAAATTGGATTACATCAGAAACTCCTAAGAGGTTGAAACGTGTAAGGGACGGACCATTAGAAAAGTTACGGGGGAGGTGGGGAATTTTCGAGCCGCAGGAATTTTTTTTTTTAGGCGTTAGCATGAACTTTTTTTAGGGTTCAAATTGGAGTGCATGAATTTTTTTTTCTTTTAATTTTCGCTTACTGTGCAGAGGGTCACCAAGGTATTGTTTTCTGAAGTGACAACTTCAAGAAATCGCGCGATCGTCGGTGGGTTTCATAATGTTGCGTTTGGCCCGGTTGGTAAGCCAATTTCCTTCTCAGTATTTCAGTAAGCTTCCTGGTTTCAACTTTTGAAAGCTTACTTGGTTTTCGGGAGTTTTTCCCCCTATGGGAGGCCATATCATTCAAAAGTGGTACGAATGCTCGATTAATGATCAAGACCGCGATCGCTATGATTGAGGTTTTCGATCGTTGGTTGAGAATGAAGATCTTTATGGTTGAGATTATCGATTGATTAATGAGAACCACGATCGCTATTATCTAAACAGGGTTTGTATGCTAGAAACACAATCGCTCTGGTCGAAAGAAAGATCGGTAATGAGCTCTGAAGATCTAAAGGACTGAAAAGAAGAAGTGTCGATTGGGGATCCAGAATGTCAAATGCAACGATTGAAATTATCGATTTTGGCGGTGACAATCAAAGAGAACTGGAAACAAGTGGGGATAAATCATGTTCCCTACATCGAGTAGAATGTAAAAAGTTCCATTGTGAGTCCGGGACTCTTTTCAATTTATGTTAACGACTTTCTGGAATCAATATCGCAAGGTGAATTACATCTGTATGCTGACGACACTACAGCTTTTGTCATTGCTGATGGCACCAATGCACCTACTTCCTGTTCAATGTGGAAACACTGCACTTGAATACAAGTATCGCGTATTCACACGACCGAAAATGATAATACTTTTCCTCGCCTAAGAGGGGAGGGGTGCCAATTTTCCATTGGCACCCCTTTTATTCCATTTGCATCTTTATTACAAAGGACGGAAAAAAATAGAAACCGCGATGGTTATTCCATTCTTCTGCTCATGATTATTTATAG